GAGCGAGACCACGACGACGACGACGACGACGACGGCGACGAAATAGGAGGGACAACGACGAGACGCCGACGAAGACAACGAGGGAGGAAGGAGGACCACGGCGACAATGACGACGGAAACGACGACGACGCCAAGACGACGACAACGACGACGAGGAAAGACAGAAGACGACGACGACGACGACGACGACGACGACGAGGGAGGAGGGGGAGACGACGACGACGACGACGCAAGAGCGCGCGCGCACGCTTTTGTTGAAAATCCGTGTTGCGAAACCTTGGGTTCTTGTAGGTTTTTTGGACGCACGATTTTGAAATCCTTCTGAAACCGATGGTTTTTGAAGGATTTCGGCATACGCCCGCGACGACGCGCGCGTCTGCACTTCGTCCCATTTTTTGCAGAGGATTCTCGCGACGGCACACGCGCAAGGGCGTTCGACAGATTTCGACATGCGCGCGCGCGAAGCCCGTTTGGTAGCATTTTGTGAAAATCTTGGAAAACCTATGGTTTTCTTAAGATTTCGCAAGACCTCACGCGGAATTTTTTTAGCAAATCAGTGTTGCGAAACCATGTGATTTTGTACGTTTTTCGGACACTCGATTGCGAAATCCTTCCGGCACCGAAGGTTTTTGAAGGATTTCGGCATGCGCGCGACGACGCGCGCGTGTGCACTTCGTCCCACTTTTTGCAAGGGATTCGTGAAAAAATGTTATGTTAAAACAAAACATGTCGCCGCATAGTGTTTTTACAAGGGAACCGCAGGGGGGGGGATACCGGCTTGGCTGGGATAGTATGAATTCATATTTAGGATGGACATGTGGTCAGAATCAGATGTAATTTACAGCACGCGCGGGGTAACCGATAAGTCCAGGGGGGGGGGGGTACAGAAAGGAGAATTCGCCAACATTCAACTTGAAATTGTCAACACTCCACTTCTCGCGCAATGATCCCACCCACCCATTCGCGACTTGGCTTGCGAAACCCATGCGGAAACGATTGCGATGAATGCTTGGTGTTGGCTGGTGCATCTCTGCGGCCGCGCTAGCCCGCGCATGCACGCGCGGGCAGCGGCCAGCTAGTTTGGCGCGACCGACGTGGCCGCGGTGGCGCTGACCGCTGGGCACATCCCAGCGGGCACTTCAATGCGAGTCAGCGGCTTGGGCGGGCGCGGTATCATGGCAACGTCGACAACGGTAGACACGATGATGATAATAGCGACGCTGGTGACGATGATGACAACGACGACGGCACGGCCAGCGACGGCGCCAATGCTTATCACGCCGGCGACAATGACAGCGTCCTCGCGTCGGTGAAGAAGGTTTTGGAATGAGTTCGACATGCGCGCGCGGCCGACGCGCGAGTGGCCCGCATGGTGTCATTTGACGCGGATCGTGCCCCCCAGCACGCGCAAGGCTGTTCGAATGATTTCGGCATGCGGCGCGAGAGGCCCTATTGGCAGACTTCTATGAAACAGCGGAGCAACATCGATGCTTTCTTAAGGATTTCGCAAGAGCGCGAACGCAGGTTTCTTTGAACACTGTTGTTGCGAAGCCATCTGGTTATACATGGTTTCGGGACATTCGGTTTTGAAATCCATGTGAAACCTGATGTTTCCGAAGGGTTTCGGCACGCGCGCGCGTCACGATGCGGGCGCATGCTTTTCGTCCGCTTTTTGCAAAAAAGGTTTTTGCGACGGCGCGCGGGCAAAGGCGTTTGTACGATTTCGACACGAGCGCGCGAAACCCGTGTGGTAGCATGTTATGAAAATGTGGAGAAACCTATGGTTTTCCAATGGATTCGCAATAGCGCGTGCAAACTATGTTCAGAATTCCCTGTTGCGAAACAGTTGGAAGTTGGGGGGTGAGTCCGACGTGAAGAGGAGACCCCCCCACCGGGAAATCGATTTCGGTTTCGGGTTCGTGTCGTGCGTGCCGTGCGTCCGCGCGTGCGAGGCGAGGCTGCGTGGGCGTGCGAGAGGAAATCCTCCTGTGGCTGGGCCGCGGCTGGACCCAATGTTTCTCCTCCGGCGGCCAGTGGCCCGCGGTGTCCCGCCGGTGTCCCGCTGGTGTCCCGAACTCCTCCTGTGGCTGAGCCGCGGCCGGACCAAATGTTTCTCCTCTGGCGGCCGGTGGCCCGCGGTGTCCCGCTTGTGTCCCGCTGGTATCCCGAAGTGTCCGCCGCTGCTAGAGAGAAGTCAAGACAAATGGTGATCCTCCCCCCGCCCGTCTAGCGGTGGCTCGCGGTGTCCCGCGGTGTCCCGCGGTGTCCCGTGGTGTCCCGTGGTGTCCCGTTGAATGAGATCGATCGTGAGATCGATACTGGAATCGATGTGGTGCCCCGAGGTGCCCCAATAAGTGGGATCGCTAGTGAGATCGATAGTGAGATCGGCAGGTATCCTGTGGTGTCCCATGGTGCCCCGTTGAGTGAGATCGATAATGAAATCGATCGTGAGATCGATGTGGTGTCCCGAGGTGTCCCGTGGTTTCCTACGGTGTCCCGTTGAGTGAGATCGATAATGAGATCGATCGTGAGACCAATCGTGATATCGAAAGGTGTCCCGCGGTGTCCTGTGGTGTCTCGTGGTGGCACGTTGAATGAGATCGATCGTGAGATCTACAGTGAGATCGACAAGTGTCCCGTGGTGTCCCGTGGTGTCCCGTCGAGTGAGATCGATAATGGTATCGACTGAATCAGATGTTGGTTCCCCCCCCCCCCCCGCAACCTCCTTATCATCCGACGGGTGGTCGTATAGGTATTATGTATGTATGTATGTATTCATAGATTACACACACGATCATAAAAACCTTGCGAGGCCCACAGTGTTTGAAGGATTGCGGCATGCGCGCCCGCCCTGAACTGGGCGCTGTGCTGCGTATAACTGCTCGGAAAACTTCGCGAAGACTTCTGTGATTTCCTCTTTCGACGCATGTTCCATGCCGTCCTCGCCACGCGTGTCTTCTGCTGCGGGCGCCCTGCAGATGACATGGAGGGCAAGCCGCGAAAATGTCAGAGGATTGGCTGGATTATTTCTTTCTTGTCCCCCTTGAGCCTGAGGGTGACCAGCTTCTTGATGCGTTTGCCGAGGTCCACCCTGCGATGCTTCATCTCTGAAGGAGTCAAATCGCTCTGTCGCCTGAGGGGCCGGCGCTGGCGGATCAAATCGTCGATCTTTCCATGTCTCGCACGCCGTGGCATGGACTTCTCGTAATTTGGCAGAACAATCAATAGGGCATTCACCATCGCCTTCTCGATGTACAGTGCTCGTTTCGTCGATGTTACTTCGTTCGCGCCGCTCCCCACGAGGCCGGCGTCCAGTTTCGCGGCGTACTTCTTCTCATCTACCTCTGGTCCCCATGTCGGTCTTCGGCCCCTGATTGGCATAGCCTGTGAACGTGATGCTACGCTGAATTGTAGTCGAACCGCCCGGTGTCAGAGCCCGTGTCGAACCAGCTTGCAGCTCCACATTTGCGTACGTCTTTACGACAATGCCTCTCCAAAGTTATGCAGTCGAGCTGCTTGCGCAAATCCCCATTCGAACATGTCCATAAATCATCGTCTGCGTCGTTTGTGGAGATACTTGCCAGCGTGAGCCTGTGAGATACACCATTGAAACAACAACTCACCCCTGGAACTCCTATATATGGTGTTGTTAGTACCCATCGCGTCTTCGTCCTCATCCGCGGAGCGTGGGCCGACTTCAGCATTGCTGTCGCCTGCCAGCACCAACCGTTTCCCTTTTCGACTTCGACGTGGTGACCGCATCATCCACAACAGAATGCATAATCTCCACGTCTATATCGACCTTCGCAGCGTGGGGCATGTGCACTCCGACAATATTGAGGGGCACGCCGCGGACGTCGATTCCGAGCACGGCAACTCTATTGCGCAATGCCTTGGAGGAGATGTGGGCCTTCTTTTTGTACATGAACATGCCAATGACGTCGCGCCCTTTGCTGCCGCCGCTGCCGGACCACGTGTGTCCTCCATTTGTTGTACATACCTCGCACGCCTCCTCCCTCCATATCTCCCTAAAAACTCAAATATCCCAGCTCTGGTCCCCAAGCTCGCCTAAGACATGATCCAGCCGCTCGGAGAAGCAAATGAACGAGTGGATGTTGTAGGCGAAAACAATTAAGTTAGTTGTCATAGCATACGAAAGTGTCCGAAGAGACACAGGCCCCCCCCCCGGAGATAAAAGAATATGCTCCTCGACCTCCTCCGGCACCACGTGCACAAGCAGACGGTATGCCCAGCCCACCAGTAGTTCTTGAACATGCCTCGAATTGTGGTACATGTAAGGGTACAGTGTTCGGACGCGCACAAATGCGCTCCCTACTCCCAGTTCTGCCTCTTGTCTTGCCATTCGTGAATCCCTTCCTCGACTGCTGTCCTCACCTCTTCCACCGTGTCTTTCAGAAACATGTCAGCGTCGTCGTCAACCCAAGCGACCTTGATCATCTTCAGGCTCACGATGCCCTTTTACCAATTGACCCAGACATTTTTTTCGGAGAATAGCCGGGCTGCTCAATCAAATTGTGTTCGATCAGGCCCAAGGTCTTGTCCCGGATCCTCTGCTCGAAAGTCCGGTTGTTAGTAAACCGTCGTGTGATTCCACCGTCAACAACTTTAGATACGTTCTTAACCTTCCTGTAGAAACCGATCTTTACAGACAGGGACTCGAACTGAATGACGCCAGTCCTGCAAGGGTCAGTGAAGGTAAAGACCTTGCCAACCTTGTTACGACGGGAGCCCTCAACCAAGCAGCCCTCGATGGTTTGAACGATGTGATCCTCGTCCGTATATTCGTCGAATCCCCCTACAATGATCTGCAACTCTCTGTTGTCATCACTTTCACTTCCAGTATCTCCTCCCTCCTCTCCTTGCTTGTGGTGCTTCGTGCTCTGGCCGTGGGAATGCTTGATGCACGGCAACAGGTCCAGGATCATCTCTTTAGCTGCGTCTTCGCCATATACTGTGTCGACCTCCGTCCGCAGCACCTCCAATTCCTGCTGTACTGTCTCCGCAGCCGCCTGAACATCAGAGGCCGCGGCAGCAGCCCCCTGCGCCTCGTACTTCGCGTTCTGCGCGATGCTCTCAATCTCCTCGGGCGAATGGGTGGGCTTCGAAATCTTTGGCGTGACACGCTTCTCGAAACTTATCATGTAATTCCTAAACCATGGAAGTGCCTCTTCCTGGATCGCGGAACCTCGGCCGCCTTCCTGCCGCTCCATCACTTCCAAGTCAGATATGTCCCCCTCGCAGATTGCGAGGTCCTCATCCATGATAGCGATCGCCTTCGCCTTGCGGCTTTCCTTCCTCTCTCTCCGGCGTCTCCCCCGTTTTTCGTATCTCCACTTGTCAGTTTGCCCCCCTTCTTCACCATTGCGTATCTGGGCGGGAAGCGAGAACCAATAATCAAAATGCGAGAATCACACAATGAGTGAGTAGGCGAAGAGACTAGCAAATAATATAAGTACTTGCGCCCAAACCTTGCGAAACCCATAGTGTTTGAAGGATTTCGGCATGCGCGCGCGCGACGAAGCGCGCGTGTGCCCTTCGTCCCATTTTCTGCATGCTTTTGATCAACGAATGTGCGCGCATAGTTTTATTTGACAGGGATGAAGAGGGGGCGATACCAATTTGGCTGGGATGATGTGAGGTCATGCTTGGGATGGACAGTGGGGCAGAATCGTATGTAAATTGCAATACGAAAAGGTGGCCCGTTTCAATCCTGGGGGGGTAGATCCTGATTTTGTTGTGCGGTATTTGATGTGCAACCCATGTTGTGCAAAACATGCTGTGCAATCTATGTGGGGCGGCAGGGGGGCGGCGACGGCGGTAACAAGCGCGGCGACTGACAAAAAGGCCCAAACCACGGGCAGCGACGAGGCGGCGACGGCGGCAACATAGCCGCCAGATCGACAGGCAGGCCCAGATCCTTGGAGGATCAATAAGAAACCCTCAGCGCAAACACCTCTTCGTGGACAAACAAATATGACCGGTCCCGCCCGCCCTCCCCTCCACCCCTGGTCGCGTCACGATTCGCGCTGGCGCCGCTTGGGAATTAGCAGCCCCCCCTCCCGCTGTCCCCCCAGGTCACGCCCAGTATCGCCAGGGTGCCCACACAGGACGCAAAACACCGGGGGTAGGGCCGCTGTTGCTTCCCTCCTCAGATCAGATGCGCCAGGACAAGCGGGGGGCGGAGGCGGCCCCAGACCCACGGCGTCGCATCTTTTCGCAACGTCGAGCCCCACAGGCTTTGGACCCCTTCCCCAGGACCGGCTTTTCATCCCGAGTCGTTTTTTGACGGTCCCGAGGCTTATGTTGTTCCCGTCCTACTTAAGGACCGCATCCCAGAAATAAGTTCGACCACCCAGAAAAGTGTCCAAAGAGTGTCGAAACAGTGCCGAAACAGTGTCTCCCAGGGCCCGGCACGTGAAAACCCTTGAATTTCAATATTGTTTTGGGCGCTCGAAATTCTTCCTGGTGGTCAAGGCTAGAGTAGGTTGGAGCATCATAGCCCGAGGCCCGGGAAGGGCCCCTGGCGGCTGAAAGACAAGCCTTCCGTCGTGATTTCTCCGCAGCGCGAGGAGGGAGGTCTGGGGCGCCAGGACAAGCGGGGGGCGGAGGCCGAGGGCGGGCGGCCGCCGGGGCCTGGCGCGGGGCCCACGCCGCGCCGGGCGAGTGCGCGGAGCCCTCGACGAGCCACCTCGTGAAGGCCGAGCCTCGGCGCCCCGGGCTTCTACAACGGCCTGTTGTCAGCCGCCAGGCCCTTTGAAGCAGGCACTTCTCTCGTGAGAGGCCCGCCGCCCTCCAAGACCCCCTCGCGTCGTGACAAAATCACGACGGGAGGTTTGTCGCCATTTTCGGCCTCCGGGGGCCCCTAGAAGGCCTCGGGACCGGCGAAAAACGACTCAGAATGAAAAACCGGTCCCGGGGAAGGGGTCCAGACCTCTGGGGGTCGACGTTGCGAAAAAATCCAGACGTCGGGGGTCTGGGCTCGTAGAAGCCTACCCCTTTCGGGCCACCCTAGTTTGGGGGGCCGCCAACCTTATTCTCCTCTCTCCTCTCTCCTCCGTCCTCCTCCCGGAAGTTTTGCCCCTCCCTCCTCCCCCCCGAGCGCGTGCAGGGGGAGCGAGGCAGGGGAAGGAAGGGGCACGAGGAGAGAGGAGGGGGTAGCACCTCCCGCGCCTCCTCCGAGGATCCCCTGTCCATCCCTCTAGCAGATGGATGGTACGTTCGAGCCCGCGCACGCCGGAGTGGACTGCCGATCTCCTCCATAGCCCCTGCCCCCCCCCTATCTCGATGCTGATCTCAGCGCTGGTCGTGCGTGTATGGGGGTACGGGCACTTCTGAAGGGGCCCTAGGACACACAAAAAAATACACACAACTACAAGGATTCCCCATTTTCCGAATATTTTCTGGGTTTTCGTCTTCCCCCCCACTTCCCATATTTTCCTATATTTTCTGGGGAATCGGCGAGTAATTGTGTCTGTGTGTTTTTTCCCCTCCTTAGTCGTGCGTGTATGGGGGCACGGGCACTTCTGCTTGCATCCAAACATTAAGTTGGGGGTCCCAGGAGGGGCACCTTGCTCGGAGGAGGGGCACTTGAGGCAACGGCGGCGCTCCCGCCCGGCCCGAACCCGCTCAAAACATCCATCCCAGGATCCCGCCCAGGGCCCCCTTTCCCAGCCCGTTCTCTGAGGCGGGCCGAGCCCATGGCGACGAGGGGGCCTCCTGGAGGCCCCGAGACGGCGAACACCGCCCGGGGAGGGCCGCCCTTGTCGCCATCTCGACCGGCCCCCCTCCAAGCCCGCGCCGCTCGGTGCGCGAACCTCCTGCCCGCGCGCGGCCCCGCCGAGGGCACCGCCGTCGGCCCGCTTCTGCGCGCGGCCCTCGGGCGGGCACGCGGCCAGCGCCCGCCCCCGCAGCCGCCGCCGGAGCGCCGCGCGGCACCAGGCGCCTGCGCCGTGGGCGTCCACCACGAGCTCCAGGGGCACCTGTCGGGGAAGGGGGGTCCAGCGCGGATCCGAGAAATCCGCGCGGACCTCCGAGTTTTACGCCACTTTTTGTTCCCCTAGGGATGAGGGCGAGGGGGCCTTGCGCGAGAGGTCGAGTGGCTCGCCCCGAACGAAGCCGGGCGGCGACTAACGAAGGGTCCCCTGACATCCGACTTCGCGAACGAGAAGGCAGCACCGCCGGTGATCGCAGCCTGAGCCACAGACCCAGACCCCCGACGTCGTGTTTC